TTGTGTATATGATATCATATGATTTACATGTAAACATCATATGATTCGACCAATCAGAACTAGCAATTTTTGTGTAACCCCGAAAAAACATATAGCGACCCTGGCAACTTTGATTATATGGGCTAGGTATTACAGAAAAGGGAAATCAACATAAAAAAGATCTTCAGAAAATCAATTTTTATGCTATAAATTTTATAAGCTATAAGAAAATATAAATTTTAAAGAGTTATACTACAAAATTTTATTAATACAACTACTTTTGTGATTGTATTTTAAATTAATTTATATAAAAAAATTAATTTTAAAAAATTTATCAATTTTTCCCTTTTCTGTAGCACCAAGCCCATATATAAAGTTAATTTTTTTAAATCAATGTATATTCCCCAACTTCACTATTATAAAAAAACGATGTTAAAAAGTTTAATCAGAAGCATTTTTTTATTTACTATGTAAAAATTCCATGTATCATGCAGATCATATAAAAAATGATCTATATATATCCTACCCTTAAGTTTGTAGATTTTTTATTTTTTAGAAAGTTTTTTGATGAGTCTACAAGTTAAAGTTATAAAACTTTAGTAAAATATAAAGTGAGTTATTAGGTAAAAAAAAAAAAACACACACTCTCTCTCTATCACCGAATAGTGGAGAGTATAGAAAAAACACAACGACAAACAAAACTAGATACTCGACTTCTAAACTATTATCAAGGGTTAGGGCCCTTGTACCCAGGAAACGTAAGCAAGTGTGCTTAAACATGTCAAGTTCCACAGCAACAGGACAGAACAGGAAAATTAAAAAGGCCAGAACTTCTAACACCAAAGAAAACAACGCCAACTATGACCCAAAGGGGTATAACGAGGCAGTAAAGCTTGTTAAAACAAGTTAATATTTGGACCAAAGCATAACAAATGACTCCTATAATAAGGAAAATTTAAGTTTACAAGATATAACTAACACAGTTACAGACAACAAAAGCAAAGGAAAAGAAACATCTACTCTCGAAGAAAGCAACGTACAAAACACAACAATAGTAGATGCGTATCAAGATCTGCCAAAACAAATAGAACACGTGAAGACGCGTGATCAAATAAACAAACACGTGAGTCACCAATCAAAAAGGGCAGATAATCAACCAGAGCCTAAACAATGTTCGAAATTGTTTGCTAAGCTCGAAAGAGGAAAAGCAACATATTCAACATATGCTCCCAGAAAGAGAATCCATACCAAGAACGATTTTGCTTTGATTTTTGAAACACATAACCTTGAGAATATCTCCACTGCTGAGTTAGTAGAAACCTTAGCAATTAAAATGAGAGGTGATCTTATTGCAGCAAAATTTTACTAAATAAACCTTAGTTCTCACTTAAGACAAAAGTATTCTGCTCATCAAGATAATTTTATATCAGAA